CGTCAATGCCCATAAACGCAACAATTATTGCATTAAATTTAACGCGATAAAATGAGTGGCTACACTTGAACGGTGAACGTCGTTTCAATTTCAACGCCGTTCAACGGCATTAAATTTGAACGGCTTTAAATGTTTTTATTAAATGTTCCTTGAATTTCAAGCAAGATGGACGTTAACGCAGCTAATACATATTTGATGAGTGTAAATTTATATTATATGAATATAATTTATCATTGCCAAACTTTTCGTGGCAGAGCCATGCTGCAGTTATATTAGTAGTATAGTTGTAGCACGAATAGGTCGGCTTGACCGGGGAAGGACCACGCTCTCACAGAATATCAGCGTAAAATAGTAGCTTAATGCTGCTGTGTTTCGTATGGTGAGTGTAGAGAACCGGAGACCCTTTTTACTGGAAACGTGGCAATCCATCCTAGTCCTCACGGGTGACAACGCATCTGCATTTTGATTCGTAATCGAGGATAGATGTAGATGTCTATCGGCCACAACATCCACATACCATCAGGTGGACTGTGTGCTCGTTTGTCACCCTATCCTAAAAAATAAAAAAAATAAACGAAGAAAAAAAGAATACAACGAAAAAGAAGATGGTGGAATCTACAAATGCACAGGAAACGTACACTGTAAATCTATTTATGTTTTATTTTGTTTTCCCGCACCCAAATTGCACTAAAAAGACGTCCAATGGTTTAAGCTAAATAATAAGACAAACGTAAATATATTTTAATGAAATAATAACTAATAAGCCAATCATAAATACTGGTCAAGTGCGAATTAGATAACGGTACCCAGGGTTTCGTACCACTGTACACTATGAATTTCGACCTGCAAAAATAGTTTTTTTTTCTCCTGCTTATTTTTCTTAGTTTCATACCGTAAATTAAAGTACTTTTGAAGTATTTTTTTTAATTAAATCTCCAAAACCTTTTTCATCACTCCACTCCATTGCAGCCATACGTACAACCCCGTTGCACTTACCGTGCACAATGAGACAAACGTAGTGTGGCCGCTTCAACGCGATAATCCTTTGATCTGCCGCCACTCAACTTATCGCCAAACGGGAAACAGCATTGTTAATGCCGTTGTCAAATTATCACGTTAATTCGTGGCCACACCTACATTCAACGTCCATCAACGCGATAATTAATGGTATTTCTCCTTAGTGTAGTCGCAGCATTATAGAAGAGGGGGCAAACGAGCGTACGGTTCACCTGATGTTAAGTGACTACGGCTGCCCATGAACAATCGCAATATCAGGGGAATTGCAGGTGCGTTGCCGGCCTTTTAGAAATGAGTAAGCTCTTTTCTTGAAGGTCTTTTTGTGACGGTGGTAAACTATTCCACAGAGAGGCCGTACGCAGAAGAAAACTTAATGTGAAACATACAGTGGTGGACCACCAAGAATCCAGATGGTGTGAATGGTATCTAAACACGCCACGCGATTTAAGAGACCAATTTGGCCTTCTCTTCCAAGTGACCACAAAACTACACGTCACTCGATATGTAGACGCCGAGGATTCCGATACTGGCTGAGGCAACAAGAGGAGTGCCTTGAAACTGAGGAGATACGACAAAGGGGTCTTTTTTAGTGGTTAACCCACAAACTTGTGTCTTCTGGGGGTTAAACTGGATTAGATTTAGTCGCCCCTAATCCGAGACTTTGTTCAGCAAAATTTGTTTGTCTTATTTTTGCACCCGGTGTACAGAGCAACACCAGTGCTGTCATCTGCATAGCAATTAATGTTTACGGGTTTGCAACATATCATTGATATGCAGAAGAAACAGCGTTGGTGATAGCACGCAGCCTTGTGGAACAACAGCATTAATAGGCTTGTAATCGGAGCTCGCATCATCAACAACGACCTTGATGCTCTAATATGCAAGAAAGCAGGTAGACCAGAAAATCACCAGCTGATCGACCACGACGAAAAACGTATTGGCGATCACTAATCAGCTGGTGATCCTCAAGGTACCTCATGAGCTGGCAGTTTACAATGGACTCCATTATTTTGGAGAACAAGTAGGTGATGGCGATAGGCCTGTAGTTGGATGGGTCTGAGTGGTCGCCCATTTTAGGGATCGGATGGACGAAAGCCGTCTTCAATGATTTTGGGACTACGCCTAGGGAGTAGCACTACCGGAAAAGACGTAGTAAAACCGGTGCCAACACAACGCAGACATGGAGCACTCACACCGCGGGATGGTCGGTGGCGTACTCCCCCCGTAATCAACAGTCGAGTTTGACGCAAAGGAAGAGCCTAGCAGATCGGCTTTCTCCTTTGCGGCATGGGCCAGTGAGTCGTTCTCCCTGTGCAGAGATGGAAGAGGTTGCTGACAGAAATTACCCTGGACAGCCTTGGCGAGAGACTAGAATGCACGAATTACAGAAGGAAGGCGAACTAGTTTCCTGTCAATTCTACCTATGTGCTCCAATTTGCCTTGGCAATGACTCTTTTGAAGGACCTGGAGGCGGAATTATACTTCTTTTTTAGAGCGCTAGTGTTTACATCCCAGGACGTTGATGTGTCAGCTCAGGCTTAATTGCACTCCTGCTATTGATGCTATGATGCTATTTTACATGAGCAACCAAATCATGGCTGAGATTTGCCTCCGATGGACACCACAGAGGAAGGTATAAAAAGTTCCATACCCTGAAGTACCACATCAGCGACAGAATCAGCAACAACGTTGGGATCGTCCGGCGAGAAGCAAACCCGCCATGTCTATGCCAAGGATAGGATGCAAAGAAAGACCGCATCCTATCCCAATCGCCTGACCTATAGTGCCAAACACAGCGGCAGCCTGCAGAATGCAACCGCGATTTCAGCCTAAAGGGACATCGACGGAAATCTGATATCCGTCCGGATGAGAGCTCAGCAGAAGATCCAACAGGGAAGGTGCATTATCCTCCACATCTGGAATCCGCGTAGGCGAAATAACCAGTTCTGTCAGACCATATGCCAAGGCAAAATCATGAACAGATCTCCCCACATGATCGGTTAAACGTGAACCAAGCAATTCGGCGTGATGGGCGTTAAAATCGCCGAGGATTACGATCTCTGCTGACTTCGCTTCACTTCGGGCAACCTCGCCTCGGGTGACTTCCGATCGTTGTCGGTTTTTTCCGCCCGAGTCAAAGGACCGAAGTTTCGAGCACGAAATAACCCTGTACATTACTCGGCTTACTTCTATAAAGTTAACGTTGTGCTGTTTAAATTAAAAACGTTTTAATTCGATCGATCGAATTGCTTAAGCCAAAAATAAATTGGTCACAAGAGCAAATACTATTGCTTTTGGAGTTGCTTCAGGGGAAACGGTAATATGGGACCCTAGAAATATTTTTTTTGCATCCAATATACGCACATAGTTAAAATACGCAACAGTGCACAAAATAAACACAGCTGCCACTTGCACGTCCTTCATCTCGCCTAGCGTGTGAGCGACTATGCAAAGGTGGGCGAAACTGTTATATTTTCCTAATTCGTTGAGATTTTGTGATATATTTTTATAACTTTTTTTTATAAGAATAGGTCCACCTGATTGTTTGTTGATTGGTTGATTGGTGGTTACTGTGGCCCATAGACATCTACATCTATTCTCGTTTGCGATTCAAAATGCAGATGCGTTGTCAGCCTTGAGGACTAAGATGGAATGCCTCTTTTCCAGTAAAAAGGGTCTCCGATTCTCTACACTCACCATACGAAACACAGCAGCATTACGCCTACTATTTCACGCTGGTATTCTGTGAGAGCGTGGTCCTCCCCCGGTCGAGCAGACCAATTCGTGCTACAACTATACTACTAATAAAACTGCAGCTCTCTATGCTCCAGGGGGAAACGGTAATATGGGACCTTTTTTATATTTTTTTGCATCCAAATATACGCACTTGTATGTCCTCCATCTCGCCTAGCGTGTGAGCGACTAGTTCTCAAGACGTTGAGCGAGTGTGTACAGAGGCTCCTCGTACCTCGGCTGACTTTGGCGAACACTTCGGGCGAGGAACTTCGCGAGTAGTGTACTGCAGCCTTAAGCCTTATAAAATCAGAACATATACATAATTTACACTCATATTTACAACATACATTATAACATTTATTGCACTTAATTATCCACAACATATTTCAACAGATTTGTCTCTTTTTTCATTATTGGAAAATTAAATTAGAAAAAGCGAGACAAGTATACCAACTCAATTTATGTAAAATTGTAGGTTCTCTATGCATACGTATGTATGTAATTACTCTAAGGAGTACCCGGGTACCCAGCCTTTGAGTATAGATTTTCTATGCTCAATGTACCCGGCTAGCGTAGACAGAGAAACTTATAGACAAATTGACACCTTCTTTCGCATTCGCACACGAAAAAGATAGATTTATGCATATGTCTTGCATAGAAATGAGATAGAGCGGTGTGATTGTTTGTCCCTTTCTCCGTGCCGGTTTTTTTGTTTAGCAAACTCTACATTTTGCTAAACAACTTTAACAGCCTAGCGATTTAAGGAGTTTACAATTTGGTTTAAGTGAGATAAAATTGTTTTGTGAGCTTAAGATTGGTGAATCTTGTTCAGTTCAGTTCTTAGAACAATTAAAAATTTTATCTAAATGTGTTTAAAAGTCATAAAGATTATTGTATAACCCAAAAATTCGTTATCGTCCTTTCTCACTCGAGGCCACGCCGATAATTAGTCTATAGGTTTCTCTGTCTACGCCGGCTAGCGTAGGCAGAACTATCCTATAGTATAGCTAATTGCCATACTTAAAAAACGTGGTGATTATATACTCTTTGGTTGACAATATGTCATTAATTGTCATATATTACTTTATTTTGTTGTTGTTGTTCGTTCTGGTTGTAGAGGTTAGAAATAAATTTATTAATTCTTGGAAATACTTAAATTTGACCTCATCTATGTTTTAACTTAGCGTTAAGTTGCTTGAATCTATCTGTAAGCAAAAAATTGAAATTAGAATATTAAACATTATAATATGGCATCCATCACAAATGGATACGGTAAGGTTAATACATTTGATTTACTCCGTTGCTTACAAAACCTGTGAAATTATATAATTGGGTGTTTACTTTCAGGATTATTGCGAACTCCTGCTTTGTATGTAATTGCGAAACGATTTCGTGGTAAAATAAATATACAAAAACCTCGGAAACCTCATTTCGAAAGGCAGCTTTTGATAGACTTATCTAAACCAGTTTATGGACCACCTAAATACAAATTACCTGAAATTGTACTTTGTACTAAATCACGAGACAAACGAAAAATTGAAATAGATAATCCATTTGAAAGAATTTTAGCGAAAGAATGTCTGGATTGGTTTAATACTTCAAAGATGGTGGTTTTCTTACATGTAAATTCCATAAGTATGGAGGACAAAACACCAATTTTTGCTGCTTTGAGGAAAAATAATATGCATTTGAGAACATATGGCAAAAAAATCGTTAGCATGGCTACCAAAGGAACACGCTATGAAGCTGTCAATTGTCTTTTTACTTCTCATCAGAATATTATTTTTGGCCAACCAGAAAATGCCGATAAGATGTTCAAAATTCTAAAAAAAGCTCCACAACTTGTTGTAATGGGTAAGCTCAAAGGATTTGGTTTTTTTAAAATGCTGTAGTAAATTAGTAAATGTGAAACTGAGTTTAGTGTTTACACTTAGCTAGCAATATTCATTGCATTCTTTAGAGTAAGGTAAATTAAGACAAACCCATTTATTTGTCTGATAGGAATTGGGACAGTGTTTATATTTGTACTGCTTTATTTCTCTATCACAGGATTTCCCAAACTGGACCGGGCCTCCCTAGGGGAGTGTAGAGAAAGGGCGAGGTGACATGCTTTGCATTTTCAAAAAAGAATGCATTAATTTAACATCATAACATAATATCATATTCATTGATACACATCAATAGCTCTGGCAAAAATTGAACTTAAAATCAACCAGTTGGTACAGAACATGCAAGCTCAAATAACTCACTAGTAATACAAATAAAATAAATAATTTGTTTGACAATAGAAGTAATATAAGAAAAGTTGTTATAACTGACAAATAAATGTTGTTAAAATAATGTACAATCATATATTGTCATGTAAAAAATTAAATGGGCATAAAAAGCATGAATGTTAGGAAACCCTGCTCTATCAGAAATGTGAGGAGGCATGCACCTCTGTGTTAGTAGAATGTTTATTGGTGTCACTTACTTCACAATCTTAAAATTGAAATATAAATATATTTTAACTAATTTAAACACTATCTGCTATATTATATGCTCAAAATTCTGGAGATCTTGCTAAAATATACCTTTCTCTAACTTCCTTTGACATATACCTACAGGCTTCATCTTTTTTTTTAAATGAGGTTGAATATAATCTTGGGCACATGCATTTTAATTTGTCGATGACGGACCACTGCGGGATACTCCCAATTTCTACAACTTAACAAACCAGGTGCTGCTTAGCCTGGTCACTTTTGGGCTTGAAATTTCATTGAGTTGTTGAAAAATTTACATATATTATAATATTACTGTCAAACAAGTTAACAGCTCATCTGATAATAAGTGACTATTTAAGTACATATCATTCATCATTTCATCATTACGGCCCTTCACAAGTCCACTGCTGGATAAAGGCCTCCCCCAAGGAATGCCACAAAGCACCTGCATCAATCGACTTCCTGCATGTCTTACCAGGTCATCACTTCATCTAGTGGGGGGTCGCCCTACACTACGCCTACCGGTACGAGGCTGCCACTCGAGAACCTTTCTTCCCCATCGGTTATCGGTTCTTCGAGCTATATGGCCGGTCCATTGCCACTTCAGCTTACTAATCCGTTGGGCTATGTCGGTCATTCTGGTTTTACTGCGGATATCCTCATTTCTGAGTCTATCACGCAGAGAAACTCCGAGCATAGCACTCTCCATAGCTCGCTGAGCGACCTTGAGCGTCTTCATACGGCCAGCAGTGAAGGACCACGTCTCTGATCCGTAAGTCATCACTGGCAACACGCACTGGTTGTACACTTTAGTTTTCGGAGATTGAGGTATACCTGACGAGAAGATGTGTCGTAATTTCCCGAACGCTGCCCAGCCGAGTTGAATCCGTCGATTGACCTCTCGTTCGAAGTTGGACTTTCCTAGTCGGACTATTTGCCCAGGTAAACATACTCGTCAACAACTTCGAGCATAGTGCTCCAACAACTATCGGCATAGGTGTGACATGGACATTGAACATAATCTTTGTTTTGTCCATGTTCATCTTAAGACCTATCCATTGGGAGACACCATTGAGGTCATTGAGCATAGTGCTAAGGTCCTCCAGCGATTCTGCCATAAGGACTATATCGTCGGCAAATCGAAGGTGAGTGATGTACTCGCCATTGATGTTAATACCGTATCCTTTCCAGTCCAGTAGCTTGAAAACGTCTTCCAACGCAGCGGTGAAGAGTTTCGGGGATATAACGTCAACCTGTCTTACGCCTCTCTGCAGTTGGATAGGTTTCGAACTCTGGTTCTGTACTCGGATAGCCATCGTAGCCCTACTGTACAAACACTTCAGCACTTCGATATACCGACAGTCAACTTGGTACCGCTGAAGGGACTGTAGCACTGCCCAAATTTCGACTCTAAGTCCGCCCAAACTTCAATTTTAAGTACATAGACAGATGTTATTAACTTCAATAACATTATGCCACAAATGCTTTATATCCATATAAATGAAATGCCTTACAATATGTTATTAAGCACCTCAAACCAGAACATGAGTATTAGCACACTGCTGTTTGGCGGCAGATACACCTAAAGGGGTCGTAGTAACCCAGATGCACTCCTAGACAGAGAAGGAGCCTAATGTACTTAGTTTGCTTATATATAAGTGAATTATCAACCTCATTGTTGGTTTGAGAAATTATATCTATTCTTTTATTTTTTCAGCGGGCATAATTCAAGACCAACTTATGTCTAAGAATGAGTTGTTAGATTTCAGCAAGCTGCCAAGTTTAGATGTAGCAAGAAGTCAACTCTGTGGTGTTCTCCAAAGTGCTGCTTCTTGTCTTGTTGGGCAACTCAATCAAAGTCAGCAGACACTTGTGTCACATCTTGAAAAACATTTAGAAATCCAAAAAGGAGAAAAGAAAGAATCATAGAATTTATATGTAATTAGATAATATAAGTTATTATTAGAATGTTTTTAAGATTTTTATTCATATCATTCACGCATCCTACTTATATAATATATGAAACTCTTTTGTTTATTAGGTATTACAACTTCTTAACCCCTTCAGAAATGACCCTCTTAGAAACCAGACAGTCCATTTGTCCAGCCTCGCCATTGCTTGTCGACGCTCGTATTGCCTTGCCACCACTCAGGATCTCTTGCTACGACTCGACCACTTCGGAAAAGTGTCGGTTTTTCTGCACAAATCAAACATGCTCGTCTGCACTCTGCAAGTCGAGTCCACATGTTAGTGGCCCATGTCAGTTACAGCTTGGCGTCCGTCTTGGTGAGATATTGATTTAATTAAGTTGCAACTAAAATAATTTCGACAATTTCACTATACTAACGAGCGACGATCTTAAGTTAAGTTTCTTAACTTTACTGCAGAGTACACAGACATAATAATTGTATGATAATTGTATGCACTTACTAAATAAATAGCAGAAGCTGCAATAACTTTTATCTCCACTTCCGACTTTAAGCTCCACAAAATCTCATGAACATGGCCTTGGAATTGGTCTCTTTCGAACTTGACCAATGTGTAGTCTGTAGCACTAGACTTGTATCAATTTGCCTATGCTCACGTTGGCTAAGGCTTGGCCAGCATGTGTTGCCGGGGTAAGAGTTTAACTGTGAAAATCTCACTCCTCTGTGCGCACAATATGCTCACAAAGCGCAGGACAGATTAGCCTGTCACAAATATGTCTAGTTGCGTAGTAAAAGAATGCAAAAGTAATGATTTAAAAAAAACATGGGATATCATATCATCAGTAAATAACCTTATATTAATTTTGTTACAATTAAATTATTATATAAACGCATTTTTAAATATTTATTTGATAGTTTAGTTACGTTACCAAGATTAGGCTAGGGTTGGATTCAGACCCTCAAAAATATTGTACATGGTAAATTAAATTATACTATTTTAAAAAAATTATATCACGTTTGACGTTTCATATTTCTTTTTTCCCATGTGCCGGATTTTTAGCGTCACGCGTCGAGTTTATCTATAAGTTTCGTTTTTTGACGGGGTCATTTTTATTTCTTTTTAATTTTTGTCTAAAGAACTTAGTGTAAGTACCTAATATATTTTATATTCAATAAGGTTAAAATGAAAAAAGTACAAAAGAAACTATCTGCTTAATCTTGAATCTGAAAATCTGATTCATAAAATATTTTGAAATTCTGTTTTCAAATCGATTGCTTCTGGAGCACAGAGTTTTTATCGTGGTACCCCCTCATTATAGTTGTATCAAGGATGCAACATAAATGCATCGATCGAACATCGATTGACCAGAAAGGGAGCTAATTCCAATTTTCTTTAAAAAAAAACGTGGTACTCATGTACAATACAGAAATTCTCGATATCATAGGGTTAATATTAAAATGTAAAAGGACCCAATAATAAGACAAGTCGACCTTTAGGTACAATTATGATATTTTCGCTTAGTATTATTACGATACTATGTACTACAAAACTATGAAATAATGGTACAATTAGGATAACTATACTACGAAATCCGACCCTGGTTACGTCGTTTTGATATGACGTTTGTATTATGACAGATGCGCTACTTTTTCTTGTATGAAAAAGTTATGAGTAAAATATTTAGATGGGCCTATCCTTCTTTTTTGAAATCATTGTTTTTTGGTATACGATTATCGTATGAATAGCAACAGTGAGTTAATACACTACATGAATGGATACTTACTATTATACGAACTGGATATGATATAGTCATATTCCCATAAATACCCGCTTCTCATTAATTTCGACCCCCACTACAAACTATTTATTTACTAAATTATTGTTCTGCTTATGGTTGTCCCTAAACAAGGTTTCGTTGATTATATACTTATATGCTATAATCATACGGACAATTTGCTTTAGGTATGATTCTCGTCAACAACTTCGAGAGTAGCGTTCGAACTACCAGCATAGGTGTAGAATGGACCTTACACATGGTTTATATCATATCCATGTTCATCATAAGACCTATATGTTGGGAGACTTCCTCCAGTGATTCTGCCATTGTGACTATATCATCGGCAAATCGAAGGTGAGTGATATACTCGCCATTGATGTTGATACCTTATCCTTTCCAGTCCAATAGCTTGAAAACGTCTTCAAATGCATCGATAAAATGTTGTGGAGTTATAAGTCTTATTTGATATATGTCTTACAAGCTTATAGGTTTCAGTCTGTGGTTTTGTACTTCTGTACGAGAAGATGTGTTGTAATTTCCCGGACGCTGCCCAGCCGAGTTGACACCGTCGATTGACCTCTCGGTTGAAGTTGGACTTACCTAGTCGGACTATTTGTATGAGTTAAACATACTCGTCATCAACTTCGAGCTTAGTGCTCCCAACAACTACCGGCATAGGTGGGACATGGGCGTTACACATGATTTTTGTTTCGTCCATGTTCATCATAAGATCTACCCGTTGGGGGATACTATTGAGTTCATTGAGCATAATGTTAAGTCCTCCTGCGATTCTTCCATAAGGACTATATCGTCGGCAAATCGAAGGTGAGTGATGTACTCGCCATTGACGTTAATACTGTCTTTCCAGTCCTTTAAAACGTCTTCCAATGCAGTGGTGAAAAGTTCCAGGGATATATCGTCACCTTGTCTTACACCTCTCTAAAGTTGGATAGATATTGTACTCGGATTAATAATCATAGCCCTACTGTACAAACACTTCAGCACTTCGATATACTGACAGTCGACTTGGCACTGCTGAAGAGAATGTAGTACCACCCAAATTTCGACGGAATCAGAGGTTTCCTAATAGTCCACATACGCAAGACAAAGTGGCAGATTGTACTCTCGGTCTTCTGTACGATTTGTCAAATTTTTGGTATATGTATGTGGTCTATGGTACTAAAGCCCTTTCGGAAACCGGCTTGTTCGGGAGGCTGGAAGTCGCTGAAAGTCAAGTGTGCTTGCAAAACGATTCGTAATGACTCCAAAACTCCACGCAGACGCGGCTCACAAGGGAAATCGCTCTGTAGTTCTTCAAAAGAGCCTTACCGCCTTTTTTGAAAAATGCGACCACAGCACTTCTGCTCCACGCCTCCGGAGTAGTCCCACTATCGAGGACGGAATTGAATAGCTTATGATGGACTTCAAATACCGGTGTTCCACCCGCTTTCACAAGCTCCCCTGTAATTCTATCTTCGCCTGGAGCCTTGCCTTTTTTAAGGTGCTTGAGAGCCATTCTAATCTCGCTCAGACTGACGTCCGGACTGTCATCGAAATAGTGTCAGATAAAATTTGCTCTTGGATCGTTACAGTTGCGTGTGGCTCCAACCTCTCAATTTCTCTTGAAATCTTAGGTGTCTCGGAAACGATGCTGCCACACTCGATCTTCAGCTTCGACAGTTGGTTCTTTCTGGCATCAAATCTCTAACAAAGACTTTGGAGCGCCGGTTTCGCTCGATCTTAAATACTTACGAGCTGTATTGAAGTCGCGTAAGACCCGCCCCATGCATTTGTAGATCTGTCTGTTCAGTTGCCGGTATGCTGTCAAATCTGCTGCTTCATTTCATCTCTTCAATAAATCGACAGTCAATCTGGCATCGCTGAAAGGACATTCATCATGGGACAGGCTTATATTTAGGATTGTAATAATCAAGACTTGTAATATAAAAAAAATCATGCGTACAGCTCACACACGACAGAAGTGAAACCTTCAAATGAAATGAAATATAAAATACAAATGCTTTAAATGATTTATTTAATATTACAATTTAAACTACAAGTTCGGCATAAAATATAAGAAAATTTATTTTTATAGTAAATAAATGCAACACACACACATGTGTATTCAGCAGGGTTGGGAGATATGATGAGGATATTGAACGACGAGTGAATGCAGGAAATAAAATAAATGCGGCTCTACCACTGACCTCTATATATACAAGTACGCTAGACTGGCTGGAATATCTGTGCCAATTTGAAGCACCCCTAACGGTCATCTTGGAAACTAAAATTGACATAATATGCCAAACTCTATTGTCTTATTTAAATTGTCATATTTAAAACAATTTTATTTTGAACTTTTATACTAAAAAACGAAAGTGTTTTTGTAGTTTGATTGTATATAATATTAGTTACATAATAAGAATTATTTTTAATAACAATGAGAGTGTGCGTAATCTCGTTACTCGTTACCAAAAGCGAAGTGGTATAACATTTCTCAAGGTGAATTTGCAGCTAATATTAAACAAATTAAAACTATTTCATAATATAAGTACTTAAAAATTTATTACTAATCTTAATATCATTTATACCAACATGTTTGGCTGTATATTAGTGAGTTTTGATAAACAATAAAATTCAATAAGGTTGTTGAGTTCCTTGTCTACATTGACAATTAACTTATATATTACTAGCGTAAGGACCGGGCCGACCGAACAACTAAAACGGACCAGTGCGCTGACCCTAAAATAACAGTATAGAGCCCACGCGAATCGGTCGACAGTGGTGCGCGCGTAGGACAGATTTGCCTATCATAAATATGTCTAGTTGCGTGGTAAAAGGATGCAAAAATTACGATATAAGATTAAAAATGAATATGGGATATCGTATCATCGGTTAATAACTTTATATTAATTTTGTTTCAAATAAATTATTATATAAACGCATTTTTAAAGTTTTATTTTGCAGTTAGTTACGTTACCAAAATTAGGCCTGGGTTGGATTCAGACCCTCAAAAATATTGTAAAAATTATACTATTTAAAAAAAATTATATCACGATTTTGGCGTCACTCGTCTAGTTTATCTATACGTTACGTTTTTTTATGGTTTTATTTTTATTTCTGTTTTATTTAGTCTAAAGGACTTAGTGTAAGTTAAATTTTGATATTGATACCTAATATATTTTATATTCAATAAGGGTAAAACGAAAAGAATACAAAAGAA